TTATGCTTGTTACTGAAAATATATGCATTTAAGAAAAATCATCTTCATCTGTCTTAATGACTTGGCAAAAACACATGCAGTATTGTATAAGACAAAGAACACATTGTATTGAACTTTATTAACTAAGTGCCCAATTACACGATGTATTTAACTGTTGTGCAGCACCAACATAATAATGTAATAACTTTTAGAGCAGTTTCATTTAGAGTTGTGTTACACATAAGTGCTCACTGGAGAAAATGTTGTACTAAATATTATAGATACACTTGTTTGCTTACATAATATGTGTACAGATAATACAGTCCATATCTCTAAAGTATTTCAATCAAGCATGTGCATAAGCAGTTCACTCAGATTCATTTCTCAAGCAATGCAAGCGTTACTGTGTCTGCTGGTGTGAATCTCTTTTAGCCGTCTGTTGTCTTCTCTGCACTCAGGGACCTTTAAACAGATAAAAGATGATGCATTATGCAGGTGATGTGAAACCTCTGATTTGAGCTCATTCTGCTGATGATTTACTGTTCTAAGATCATGATGAACCTCTGATACACACAAGTAACTGAACCAAATCACTTAAAGCAGATTTATAATGTAAAAGAACCAATATGTGCCACAATCTGCAGGAACCAGTGCAAATTCTTATGTGTTTTATTCTTCTTCCTAATAGGTTGAGCATAAGTTGCATCACCAACTCCAGCATCAGCATCTAAAGAACACAAATAATCAATAACAATAAAATAATTCTAAAACATATTATTTTTACATTTCCTCAACAATCCACATGACTTTAGGAATCATTCTGATCTGTAGCAGAAACGGTGCATGATGGTTATTTCGTAAGGTTAGTGCAGGGGTCACCAACTGGCGGACTCCGGTCCAAACCCGGACCATGAAGGCTTTTGACATAATGAAATAAATAAATACCAAATGCTATTTTCTAACAAAATCAAACTTATATCAAGCACATCAAGGTCAGCTCAGTAGAGCCGCTTAGGTCCTACGGCGCCACGGGTTGCTACTACAGTTACTATGGTTGCTGTTACTGTTGCTACGGTCAGAAGTGCGGTCGTGCCTGCAGTGAAGAGAGCGGCGCGCAGACAGATGAAACTTTCAGTGAGTGAAAAACAATGGCATTCTTTTTTCAAAAATTAGGAAAGTTGATGGGTCCTTAAAAAGTCTTAAATTTAGCTGTATCAAATTTAAGGCCATAAAACGTCTTAAATTTGGGGACGCCGGTAAGACTAGTATTGCGATATGGCTTAGTGTGACAATTAAACTTCAAAAGGCTATGATTTCATTGAATAAAAATGAGCGCTGCACGTTTCAAAAACAGCTGCTGTGCTACCCTACTGCTGTTCCCAGGGAAACCGCTGTATTTTTGCCATTCCAAAAGCGCCTCCTGCTGGCAGAAAATTAATGTGCATTTTTTTAATAAGCCTGTCTGCTTTTGTTCAGATAAATGTGAAAATCAACCCATGTTTTTTTATCCAGCAAACACGCAGAGTTGTAAATGTGAACTAGTGGATCGATAAGAAGATAATGCATTATGAAAAGTGTTAACAATTAAGACAGTATAATATATATTTATATGTTATTTAATTAATAGGCTATAATAATAGATTGATAATAATTGTTTAAATTAATATAGTATTTGATACTTTTGCTTTTAAATATAGTTTAAACACGGACAAAGTAAAAAAAAAAAAAAAACTAATTGGACGTATGACGGCATATTTCAGTGCCAAATAGACTCCTTCCGGGTTCGAATACGTTTCGGAAAGTTTTTTTTCAAGCATGGCTCTTCATGACGTCACGGAGAGCGTAATTCCTTGTTTGGGCACTTCTCCTGGAAGAGTGCGTGCACACAGCAAATAGAGCGAGAGCGCGCGCCCATCAATGTGCTTGAATCGGGTTAAGGGAGTCGTCGACAGCGCTGCACAGGACTTGCTCAAGAAGAATGTGTCCAAAGAAGTGTGTTTTTGGATGTGAGGGAAAGATAACCTTGTTCAGCTTCCCAAAGAACCCAGCGTTAAGGGAACAGTGGATGCAGTTTGTTTTTCCGGGACAGCAACAGAATTTCGCACGTGTGTGTTTGTTCCTGTCATTTTGGTGACGAATGTTTTATAAACAAGGCCCAATTCGACGCTGGATTTGCAGATCGTTTGATACTGAAAGATAGAGCAGTCCCAGCGATAAAATATCCTGGTCATGAGCTGGAATCGCAGGCGGTGTGTAAAACTGCATCAAATGTCTGTGTTTTGTTGCCAATCGGCCCGTGACTCTTAAGCTCCGCCCACGGTACGCCTCCAGGAGCTCGGCTGTTTTCGGAGAGAATCGTAAAGCTGTATCTTTCTTTTATAAATCTGATAAAACTAAAGAATCTTCTGAGATATGAAGGATGCAATACTACTATAGGTACGCAAGATTAACATGAGATTGGCGAAAATGTGTGTTATGTCCCCTTTAATCATTTAAAAAGCTTTTTTGTTTTTGTAAACAAAACCTGTATCTGAACTGTAAATCATGCTTTTTACAGTCAATTTAACTGTATTTGTACAGGTCTTAAAAAGTCTTAAATATGAGCTTAAATATCCTGCAGATACCCTGGTCTGGTAAAAACCGTCAATTCATGTTTTTAGGTAGGCCTATATAATTGTCCGGACCTTGGCTGGTGAAGAGGGTCATTACTGGACCTCAAGCAATTTTAGTTGAAGACCCCTGGATTAGTGATTTGACTGTAATAGTGATGAAGCTTGACTTTGTGTTTCTCTCACCTCTATCTCTGTTGTGGATCAGTTCAGAGTACAAAGTGTCTCCAGACTCACTGCTCTTTCCTGATAGAGAACAACAGAGAGGCAACGAATGAACATAATGCCATACATCTGCAACACTAATAAATGATAATCCATGATAAGAGAGATCAGAACATTTTATTTTAGTTTATTTAGTAGCAGGTTTTAAAAAAACATTTTACTTTACACACTTTTTCACATAATCTGTAACATGCTCATGACAACATTTCGGAGCATCTCTTTATTTACCTCTGTGTTTGTTCTTAGATTTCATTTCAATCAGAACATCAGAAAGTCCAGCACCTATCATGAAAAACAACAGTTTGGTTATCTGACTCTTTAGTCTGTTAGGCCTGTTTTTTATCATCTCTTAATCTCGTAACATCTCTTAAATACTCAGACTCACTCATTTCAGTAAAACAATACAGATGTGATTGTTGTGTTGTGATTTTTGTTACATTTCAGAAATTAAGTCACATGAACTGGCTCTATCAGCCCTGTTTACAATGTTTATTTTTCTCATATTATAAAATGATTATATACAAGTTACATTTGATGAATCATTGTTTTCAGATGCAGTTTGTTGTGTGTTTACCTTTGCCTTTGGTGTTCTTTTTGTCTTGTATATTGATCTGTGCGTAAGTCAAATCACTGGGTCCTGTGATATTAATATCTACAAAACAGAAGATCAATCAGATTATATAGAACATTCAGGAAATATTGTACTTCAGGAAAAACTGAATCTCACCTTTGCTTTTGCATTTCTTTCCTCTTTTTCCGACTTCTGAGTATGTCACATTATTTGTCTCTGCAATGGTATCTTCTGAAAAAAATAATAATAATAATGATATTTAATTAATTAGAATGAAATACACTTTTTTTCATGAATTATAAATGCATTAATGTTTCTAGTTAAAAGTATAAAAATTATATTGTACAGGTGAAGTTAAGAGGTTTTTTGAACCTTTGTCCATCTTTTTCTTAACAGTGACCTCTGAATATGTGACCTCTGCCAAGGGCTCTGGATCATCTAAAACAAACAAGTCAAGCCAACATGACTGAATGATTGTTAATTTTGTGTGATGTATAGATTGTTTTTATAATAAGGTTTAGGACTCAACCTTTATCTCTATTCTTCACTGTAGTCACGTCAGGAGAACATGACAAACATGCAGATCTGATCATGAGTGACATACTGTATTATAATATTACAAAAGTACATGAAATCACTCATCATTTCAAGACTTCTGACTTTACTCCCTATGCCCCTGCTGATTATAACATTAATTTCATCAGAAAGACTGCATTTATGTTTATGCATCCAGCACATTCTAATAAACCTTGTCTGCTTAAAAAGGACGTGTGTTGAAACCCCCCAAAGCTGATAATTACTTAATTTAAAATGCATCTGTGCATATATTGTAGTGCCTGATAATGTTGAACAGGTGAGTGTTTATCACAGTATTTACTCGCATTTGAGGATAAAAGGTAAAAAGCATTTTTGTATGTGTACTATTCCTTTTAATAATTAGTTATTGAGGCTGACCAGACTGTAGAGGATAGTTTTCCAGTTGAGATTGTGCAGATTGATTTGGGACTGATGTCTGGTTAATGTTACGCTGCTGATCTATAACAGAAACAAAGAGCATTATGATCACTCAAGAGTATCTGCAGTGTCTCTTTAGTCTGATATTCAGATCTTCTCATGAGCCTTTACTCAGAAACGTTATTGTTGCTGTTCAGTTGTATTAATCATGTTATGAACTGCTCCACACCTTTGTTCTTCTTGTATCTCCACATCAGCAGCAGTGAGAGGAAGAACAACAGGCAAACACTCAATCCCACAACCACACCAGCGACCAGAAGAGAAGATGAAGCTGCTGAGACCGGAGAACATGACAAACATGCAGATCTGATCATGAGTGACATACTGTATTATAATATTACAAAAGTACATGAAATCACTCATCATTTCAAGACTTCTGACTTTACTCCCTATGCCCCTGCTGATTATAACATTAATTTCATCAGAAAGACTGCATTTATGTTTATGCATCCAGCACATTCTAATAAACCTTGTCTGCTTAAAAAGGACGTGTGTTGAAACCCCCCAAAGCTGATAATTACTTAATTTTAAATGCATCAGTGCATATATTGTAGTGCCTGATAATGTTGAACAGGTGAGTGTTTATCGCAGTATTTACTCACCATTAACAGACAGATTTATTCGTTCACTCTCCTGTGATGATTTTGGTCTTTCATCTCTCTGTCCTCTACACCAGTACTGATCCTGATCAGACTCATTCAGTCCTCTGATAGTGAGAGTGTCTCTGTTTACAGTGTAACGCTCAGATGACTGTAACATTACACTGTTGTTTCCGCCTTTATACCACTCATATCTCCAGTTACTGTGAGACTCAATCTTACACGTCAGATTGACTGTGTCTCCAGTGAATACAGGACTGTTTGGTGTCACAGTCAGTGTAGATCTGGGTAAAGCTGTAAAATATAAAAGCAGATAAAAAAATCAAGTGTGAGGCCTACAATGAAGTGTCATATCCTTTTAATATTTGCATGTAAAATCTCGCACTTTACATTCTGTAGGAGCTTGTAGATTAAGTGTTAACTGAATGCAATAACTGTCTATTATACATCTATTGTTTTCTCAGAAAAATGCCTATTTTCATGCTGTTATGAAGAAAAAAAAGTGTTCAACTAATACTTTTGGTCTAACAGCCATATCAATAATTTAATGGTGATTTGTGTCCTTTTTAACAGTCTCTGATCCTCATTCACTGTCAATGAAAAGAGACGCCAGGATATTCAGCTGTAAATAATGCCATCGTGTTCTAGGGAAGAAAGTCATACAGGTCTGTACAAATATGAGTGTGAGTAAATGATGACATGTTTCATTTGTTGGGCAAACTATTACTCTAATTACTGAGAAATGGTTTAAATTGTTTTTAGAAAGTTAATCTGTAACCTTATGAAGTTAAATTTTTCAGGCACAAATAGGATGAAATACATGCCATCATCAGAGTGACATTCATTGTTGTCGTGAAGCTTTTAAACTGTGTACGCTGCCATCACTGTACATATTGTGCCTCTATCACTCTAATTCAGTGCTGAAAACAAAGTTTGGTTACTTATACAAAACTGACAACTGCATTCTGAACTGAATTTAGCTGCAGTATATACTTGGTCTTTGTGTTCATCACCTGAGACTGAGGGGTTTGGTTCAGCACACAACTGTACGACCCTCACTATGTCTGCAGTTTACATGTAAAGTGTGTACAGAATTTCAGCCTACGACGCCTGAGGTGGACTGTGAACAGAAGTTTCTCCATAGAATGACTGACTACATTTACTAAAATGTGTAATGCATAATAATTATCAACCACAGAGACCTTTCTTTAAAGTTTTATCAGACTTCCAGTTTGAATTAAGTTTGCAAAATAACCATTTTTGTTGTTGAGCTGAAATCTGGATGCTGTATGTGTTCATGTAGTAGTAAGGCTGGGTGATATGGCCAAACAAATTATCACGATAACATTTTTTATATCAGTCGATAACAATAATTATCACGATAAATTTCAAATCTTTATTTCTTTCAAGTTTAAAGGCAGACTTCTGCTCCATAAGTGAAAGTTGTAGAAACCAGACCATTAATTGTGGTTTTAAACTACTCTTTATGGTCAAGACAAACAGTGTGGACTTCATTTATAAAGGATGGGTGCTATTGTTTGGACTTTAAATTTTGGGCTACCATTCACTCCCATTATAAAGCATGGATTAGCCTGGACATTATTTAATATAACTTTGATTGTATTCGTCTGAAAGAAGAATGTCATATACATCTAGGATGGCTTGAGGGTGAGTAAATCATGGGGTAATATTCATTTTTGGGTGAACTAACCCTTTAAGGGAGCTGTATATGCTCAAAAGTTGTTGCTGCGTTTGGAAACCTGTTTGCTTTGACTTCATATATCTGGTGTTAATGTATTTATTATTTTAATGTGTTGTAGCCTGGAATACAAGTACAATAAATATCACATACTTTAAGACTTTTACTCAAGTAATATTCTAAACGGTGACTTCAACTTCTACCAAAGTCATTTTCTGGTAAGATATCTGTATTTTTACTTGAGTATGGCGTTCAGGTACTTTATACACCACTGTGTAAACTGCATTTATGACAAAGAACTGCACAGATGCAGATATGATACAATCTATCGATAAACACGCACCTTGTCCTCTGTCTCTCGCTCTGCGGATTGAAGAGCGCACTGAAAGACGGGGAGGAGCCGATCGAAGTCTGCCGCTGTTTTCATATGAAATGTAAAGGGGACTGAGGCGATCACTAATTCGTGTACAGCAGGGTTCCTCAATTAGTTTTTGCCGATTGTAATGCATTACTTTTAAAAGTAACTTTCCCCAACACTGGACACGACGCGATAAAAAGTATATTTTCCTTGTAGTTTTTGTCCTAACCACCCGCGACAGCGACACGTGACAATAAGCACATGGGATTTCAGTTTTTATTTTCTGCGACGTCGCGGCAGGAACAACATACAAAATATGATATGATATTGTGATAATCTCAGGTAATGATTTAGTGCTTTATTCAATGTTAAAAGTGTAACCAACACGTGTATTCCATAACAAAGATATCAGTCACTCACTCAAAACTGTTGAACTGTTCACATTTGAATCATCTATTTTCCATGTCCACTTTTCTTTTCTGCACACTCTCCATGTTTTTGCTGTCACATCGTATCTACACTGGACGCACAAAGCATTGCAAATCATTTGAACGTTGTGTCAGTACGTTATAAATAGAACGAGTCAGCAGTTTACTGTTGGGGATTTGTTGTGTCGCGCCCCATCCAAGACAGGATCACTGATTATAAAGAGTTATTGTATTTTATTGCGTCGCGCCGCTCGCGTCCGGTGTAGACACAATGTAAGTTAATGTAGCTTTCTGATGCTGCGTTTGAATTTTCATGCCATATTATTTGAAATTAGTGTGGGCCAACCTTTTTTCTCTCAGGGACCGGATGTGGCCTGCGGGCCGCCTATTGAGGAACCCTGGTGTAGCCTACATGTAACAGGTATGGAAAGTAATATGTTCATTTCATATGTAGAATTACACAAATGTTCACGATGTATACCTGATATGCCTGTCTGTGTGTGTGTACCTTCCCCTTTAAATGTCTGACAGCAGCATTAATCTTAATTTCCTGTCTTTGCACCTCCTCTTCCCTTTCTGCACTGTCTCTGCATGGCAGAGGTGGGTTTTTTAACGAGCTCTGATTAATCTAATTTCATCTTTGCTTAAAATCACTTTTATACTCTGTTTAAATCATATTTGTGACATTATTTTACATGTATATTTGATTATTTCTGTATTTTCACTAAATTTGATCCGTTTTCTGTCGATCGATGCACTTGAAGCACGTGCTAATTGCGTTGCACTTTACATTAATTTAACAGAAAGGACAAGAAGGGCGAAAACACACTGTAAAGACTGTTTTGTGTTTTATCAGAGTAAAAGAAGAGGCGAACCGTCAGCTGATGTCCATCTGGTTACTACATTGAGAGAAAAAAAACACACAACACAGATAACACCGGTTACATACAGTTTATGGAGCTAATCGCAAAATATAATCGCTATAGCCCCCCTAAAAATGGCCTAGCGACGCCCATGTGCATTGCATTTTTATGAAAATCTTTATAGAGCTAACCAATAGATTAAAACTCCACATATCAACAATAACTCACACAGATCAGTCATACTGTATTCCAAAACGTATGATATTTGATCATTTGTTTCTGATTCATGATTTGATTTTATTTGTCAGAGACAATAATTTAAATGTGGGATTTTTATAATTGAATCAGGAAAAAGCTTTTGATCGCGTGGATCATGAGTTTATTTGGGGTCATAGGATGCGACATGCACATTTACAAGTTGTTTGAACTGAAATGTGTGTTGGCAGTGTGTGTGCACAACCACAATATAATGATAAAAATCCACCCAGTGTTTTTTTTTCTTAATCTCGTTAAATGTTTTCCCCTTTCTCAAATCGAGCCGATCTCAGATGTCTGTCTGTGTGACGTCACACAGACAGGTCTCTCCCACGATAGTTTGATTGACAGTAGCGTTTCAGCACAGACTGGACTGGTGTCTTACCTTAGCTCCGCCCTGAGTGAGCTGTCATCAGTCTGCCATTGTTTCACCGCCGGAGCAGATGTAGACAAGAATGACTCCTAAGCGACTGAGGTGTTCTGTTGTTGGATGTAATAATGAACATAGCAGTCATTATTAACTCCCGACATATGAGCCGCTGAACTCGCAGTGGATTACATGTTTCTGAAGGGAATGCATCCCTGATCTACATAAATGCATCTATGGTTGCGCTAATCATTCATGATCCAGCTTCACCTACAGAAGAATCTTTGCAAATCGCATTTCCTAATAATGTGCTAATTAGCAAGTTTCACGATGAATGCGGCTAAAGTAAACACTCTCTCTGAGAGCAGCTCGGAAGAGAGGGGCGGGGTCAGCAGAGCTCATTAACATTTAAAGGAAAATGCTACAAAAATGGCTTGATCTGGAAAGAGCTGTTTTTGACAGGGTAAAAAATTAGTTTTTTACACTACCATTGAGAACTTTTAACCAAACAATGTTACAGACTTTTCATTAAGACCCTAAAGAATCATATCAACTTGGGCATTGATTATGGACATCCTATGACCCCTTTAAATGTTTTGAAGCTTTTGGATTTGTTTCTTCATTTATTTCTTATGTGAAATTGTTGTATACAACTTAGACTCAAAAGAGTGGAGATCAGCAGAAGAGATTGCCAGACAGGCTGAACTTAGGTCTGTGAGGGTGGTAGAGCAGTTGAGTTTAGGCTTGAAAGCCGCTCTCCTTCCTTCTCTTTTGCAGTTTTTGAATTGTATTTTAGAGAGTGGGCCTATACAGTTACCTTTTCCTAAGCTAAGTGTGTCACCTGAAATTTGCCCCGAGGCCAGTCAGGTTGGGAAACTGTTAACAGCGGGAAAAAAAGATATGTATCAGGTCTGTGTAAAACTGCTTATTTTAAAGATCTTCATGAAAGAAGTGATACAAAATGGAGAGAAAAACTTTTTTTCCTTCTTGGAGGCTTTTTTTTAATATAAAAGTCCCCTTCCAAAACGTTCAGGTGATCTACAGTGGAGAATATTGCATTGTGTGCTAGCCACAAATGTTTTTGTTTCCAAATTTAATTTGAATGTTTTGTCTTTTGTCATTTCTGTAATAGTCATGAAACTATCATGTTTTCATTGAATGTCCATTATATGTGTGTGTGTGTGTGTGTGTGTGTGTGTGTGTGTGTGTGTGC